AAATCCTTCTCCTCAGGGCTGCTATGAGGACACTTGGGAGCAAAAGAGCTAATGGGAAGCCAGATGCCCAGTAGGGACGCCGTCAGAATTGAGGCCGTTCTGTGAAATTCTCCCCTCCCCCTTTAACATTTAATTTCTGCCTTGCACAAGAAGATGCACAAGGCCTTTTAAATTCATAAGGCTTTAGGCTGTAATAATTGATGCTGCTCGGGGAGGAGATTAACGGTGCGCAGCAGCCCCGCTGGGTTCTGCTCAACTCATCCGCTGGGAAGTACCGTGGGATTAACCTTTCCGGTTTCCTCGGAGGGAAGGAGCTGCCGCGGCCGGGCCCTGCGTCGGGGGCGGCGGCGGTAACTCCGCGGTGGTTTTCAGCTCGGTTCCACGGCCATCGGGATCCAGACCTCGGAGGGCGTCTGTCTGGCTGTGGAGAAGAGGATCACGTCCCCGCTCATGGAACCCAGCAGCATCGAGAAGATCGTCGAGATCGATTCCCACATAGGTAAGGAGGGAGAGGGGGGATTTGCGGTCCCTCTGGCAGAGCCTTGAGAGCATCCTTTGGCTTTTTGATGTAGAAGAAATAAGACTTTGTCTCCTGGGGGGCTCAGAAGCCGCGTTTCGGGATCGGCCTTCCCTGCGGGCAGCTCTGTGTGGGAGCTCGTCCCTCCCAGTGAACGCCAGCTCCTGGTCACTGGTTTTCCAGGCTCCAGGCCAGCAGGACATAGTTACAGGAGCAGGAAGAGGCAGCTGAAGCACTCCCCCCTGCCTCAATGACCTCCCTCGTGAAAGCTCATCCCAAATTTAGATCTGGGAGGGCAGGGAATTACTGCAAAAGGCCTGACTGGAGGCCGGTGTCTCTGGGAGCAGTAACGTTAGCCTGCACCCCTGCACCTCTCGCGCTGCGAGGGGGCCCGCGGCCGGCTCCTTACCAAATATGTCGCCTGGAAAAGCAGGAGACCTCCAAAATACCCATGTTGCTGATGACAGGGGTCACGGAAGGAGCTCTTGAAGAGTCTAATTTCCTCTTCCCATCCCTTCCCGGAGCAGGATCTGTGCTGGAGGCTCCTGCATCCTCCCCTGGCTATGGGTTAGCCAGCCCTTCCCACGGAGGGGATGAAGCAGTTCTGAGTGGGTTAGCTTCTTCTGGGAGGCCTCAAATGTGGCTCCTTCAGCTGCTTTGGATTTGGGGTGGCTGGGAGAATTCGGCTACGTACCTGCCGTTCAGCTGGGTGTCCATCCCTGCTCCTGAGCAAACCGTTCCCATCCCATCCTCCTCCCTTTCGAGCTTTTCCCGCGCAGGGACCCGTTCCGCCCCGCAGCCTTCTGTACTTCACCGTGGGCTGCGGGGGGTGCGAACACGGCCCGTAATCGGTGAAGTCACCCGTGTTTCCCCTCTCTGGTTCCAGGGTGTGCCATGAGTGGCTTGATAGCCGATGCAAAGACTTTAATTGATAAAGCAAGAGTGGAGACTCAGGTAAGGCTCGATTTTTCTCTTAAAACAGCAGCCCTAGTCTCCAGGGCATCTCGGAACTCTCTGGCACGGGAGGATCGTTACACAGGAGCGGTGTGGGGTGGGAGAGCTGTGGGGAGTGTAGCTTCCCTCCCAGAGCTTTCGGGTGACGGGCAAGTGGAGTCTCCCCTGTATCTTTTTCCTCGGTATCACACACTTGGTGGGAATCTTACGGCTGGTTCTCCAGCAGTCTGTGCTCCAGTGAAGGCGTGAGGCCATGTGTCTGACTTTGTTGTGACAAAGGAATGGGTTATATTGGTCATATTCTTGACCCATTAAATTCACGGGGTGCCTCAGGCGCTCAGAGGGCCCAGGTACAAACCTGCGCTGCCGTAAAGACTTCCTGTGGAGTTCTCCAGAGGCAGGAGCGCTGACACGGAGAGCCAGCTAGCCCCATCGCTTCAGACAGGGATGCTGGGAGAAACACAACGCTGGGGCGCTTTTCCCTGTTGGCATCCCAAGGCCTAGGTATCCCAAGGTTTTTGGGGGATCCCTGCGCAAATGTCTGCGCTTCCCTCTCTTCCTGCGGCAGAACGGGCTGTGCCCCGGGTGCCACCAGCCGGAGGGATGCTGTCTTTGTGGGTACCCAGGGCGTTGCTCCCGCCTGCTGAATGATCTGGGATTGTGTTTTTGGGAACAAGAGGATCATTTGAATCTTTCTTTGCAGAATCACTGGTTCACCTACAATGAAACCATGACGGTGGAGAGCGTGACGCAGGCCGTGTCCAACCTGGCGCTGCAGTTCGGGGAGGAGGACGCAGACCCAGGGGCGATGGTGCGCATCTGAGGGGGGTGGTGGCTTTGGGGAGGTGCCCCCCCTGCCCCCATCTGACTTTGCCCTTGGCTTTCCCTAACCTGTTGGCTCCTTCCTCTTGCAGTCTCGCCCGTTCGGTGTCGCGCTGCTCTTTGGAGGAGTGGATGAGAAGGGGCCTCAGCTGTAAGTTCGGCTCTCTTAACCCTGGGCCAGCTCTGGGAAGAGGCAAAACTGAAACCTCTGGGGATGCTTTAATGCCTTGGTTCGGGGATTTTACTTAAGCCAAACGCTTGGGGTTTATCCCATTATGTGCCTGATGTGCGGTAATGCTTTTAAACCCTTCCAAAGCCTGAGCACTGGCTGCTTCTTCGGGGTTGAAGAGAACGCTGTCTCTTCCCTGAATCCCTGCTCTTTTAACTGGTTTCCTGGGCGGGAGAGAGGCATTAAAGCTCTCCTCGTCCCGAGTTTATTCTTACCTTTCCCTAAAGGACTAGCAGAGCCACCGGTAACATAATCTGTGGAGCCTGCTGTAACATTCCTTGGGGAGGTGGTGGAGTGCTTGAAACCTGAACTCGAGTGCTTCCAGCACTCCGCGTCTGCTCAGCGGCTCCCAGCCCAATAAGGTCTCCTCTCCCTCCCAGGAGCAACAGGGAAAGCTTGCTGGTTTGACTAAAAAAAATAAAATAACAGGGAGAATAAAACGGGAAATGATTGTGGAGGGCAGCGCCGGGCGCGTACAGCTCTTCCTTCAGCCAGCCCAGTGTGGGACTCGGGCACTCCTCAAATCTCAGTCCCCTCCGCCGCGTGCCAGGAGGGACCTGCCGCTGTCCCCATCGCAGCGGTCCCCGGGGAGGGGTGAGGGGCTGCTGCTAGCTCTGCCCCACCTCGGCAGGCAAGCTCTGGCTGCCAAGGAGCCCGTGTTCCCCGGCTCCGAGCTGTGCAGGGAGCGCTGTGGCTCCAGTGGGAAAGCCCTTGGGCAGCTGGGATGGGGTGCTGAGGCGTGGGATGGGGTGCCATGCCCGTTCAGCCTCTCCTCCGTGTTCCTGCAGGTTCCACATGGACCCGTCGGGGACGTTTGTTCAGTGCGATGCCAGAGCTATCGGCTCTGCCTCGGAAGGCGCACAGAGCTCCCTGCAAGAGGTGTACCATAAGGTAAAAGGCTGGACTGGGGGTGACACCTTGGAAATTGGAGCTACCTCCCGACCCACAACACTGGTTTCCTTCCCAATGAGTGATTCATAAGGCTCTTGTGCTATAGAGGAGGAGTGCGAGCTTGTCGGGGTGGGACTTGCTCCTGGGCACTTGATCCCGCGATTGGGTGTCAGCGCGGAGCCGCTGGATGAGGATCTCCAGGAGGAACGCTGCCACCAGCACCTTCCCCTGGGCTGCAGCTGGAACCCAGGACCCGTGTCCGAGTTACCGGGCTCTGTCTCCAGGGCTGATAATGAAGCCCATGTCAGGAAGTACTCTGTAAATCATAGAATCACAGGATGGGTTGGGTTGGAAGGGACCTTAAAGACCATCTAGTTCCATCCCCCTGCCATGGGCAGGGACCCCTTCCACTACACCAGGTTGCTCCAAGCCTCATCCAGCCTGGCCTTGGACACTCCCAGGGATGGGGCATCCGCAGCTTCTCTGGGCAACCTGTCCCAGTGCCTCCCCACCCTCTGAGGGAAGAATTCCTTCCTGATGTCCAATCTAAACCTCCCCACTTTCAATTTAAACCCGTTACCCCTTGTCCTGTCACTACAGACCCTTGGAAAAAGTCCCTCCCAGCAGGGCTGGGTCCGGGTGCTGCCGCTCGTAAGGAGCTAAAGCCGGTGGCTCCGTTTCACTGGATCTGCTAAGCCGGGGAAGTTAGTGGGTTTTATGCTGCAAGCACTGGCCCTACTTGACACTAAACAAACCTCTCTCCGTGCGGGGCAGCCGCCCGTTTTGTGTGGTGAGAAACCAAACTCTGTATGAAAAAGCGTAACTGGTGGTGTTTGAAGGCTTTTGATCGTTTTGAAGACCTCAGACTCGAGGACCTAATCTGAGGTGGTCCGGGTTCTGGGCTCTGTGGCTTGTTAACCACCTCCCGACGCAGCTCCTGTCACCCCCCCGGACGTTGCAGGGCCCCCCCAGGGATTGACGTGATGAGAACACAAAGGTTTCTGCCAAGAGGGAGTCCGGCTTCTCGCAGCTCGCTGGGGGGAACCGCCTGATGGCTGGGAGCTGGTGAAGGGGAACGTCCCCTCGCGTCCCCATCCCACAGCGAGGTTTATCTGCCCAGATTAGCAGTTCTTCAGCTTCGTAAAAAGTTAGGCGGGAGCAGAAAGTCGCCATCCTTGCAATTGTCACTGAGCAGTGCGCTTTGATCTCTTGTGGATGCTGGTAGATAACTTGATAAGCTTTTAAATTCGCTGCCAGTGGCAGCTTAAAGGATTTGAGAGGAGCGGGAGGGCGAGCGCGGCACGCTGTCGCAGGCAGCGCTGACAAAAAAACCGGGGCCATTACCCATTCGTTTTGCAGTCCATGACGCTGAAAGAAGCCATCAAATCTTCCCTCGTCATCCTGAAACAAGTCATGGAGGAGAAACTCAACGCCACCAACATTGAGGTAACGCCGGCGCGCGGCTTGCGGGGCGGGAGCCTTCCG